ACCCGTCGACTTGAACTTCAGCACGTGGAGAAGTCGCGATATTGCCATGGTGCGCACGCGCCTCCAAATGACATCCACATGTATCCACCAAAGGACATCCCACGTAAAAGAAACATACCGATACCTTACAGCGGCTTTGTACCGAGGCTGTCAGACTGCGGTGAGCAAGACGCTGCTTGGCTTGCTTTGGATGTCCAAATGGTGTCAAGCCTAATTGAGATACTTTGAACAAAAGAGACGGCTCTTTTCATGGGTAGTTTCCTTTTGGTTTCCCTTCAACATCCCAAAGCGGGTCCGTATCAAAAGACGATTCTTGGATACCCCTTTTGGCAAAGTGTTCGCACATCATGCATCGCAGTGCGGAAGACAACTTCCCAACTTGCCCCTTATCAAAGCCCGCATGCATCTCCGATCCTAAAATGGGCCATGGGGCAATTTCGAAGCAACATTTAATTTTTAAACACGATCCTTTTCAAGCACAGGATTCTTCATCACAGTCGGTGTTCTGTTCAATGGACCCACCCTGACAAAGAATGACTGATTCAAAGCAAGTTGCTCAATGCAGTCAAGCCTCTCACCAAGGAGGACGTTAAGAACCACTACGCTACCTTCCTGCGGAGGGCCGAGTTTCCCGCACAGGCTGGCGAGGGTATTCCGAATTCCCTTCAGCTCGCCCTTTGTACCCATTTGGCCATGGGGCAGAATGTATGGCTTCATTTTGGGGTGGATTAATATTCATTTGCCACCAATTTTGATGTTCATCAGGGGTACAGGGTTTTGACCCACAGCCATTTGAAAGGTTCTAGGGTTCCAATTTGAAGCCAAGCCCTTGACACACGGGCTCGCCCAAAAAATGGAGGCGCAGGCCTGCGACATTTGCCAGAGATGGCTGGGCAAGATGAATCAGTCCGCGGCCAAGAGAGGGGAGGGGAAAAGGGGGTGTTTAGACCGGGGAGACCAGGGGCATGTGTGTGTGTGTGTGTCCCAAATTAAGGTGAGAATCCGTTTGATTGGCCAAAAAATGAATGGCTGACAAAAACCGACTTGTTTTGGGTCCCTTCCGTGAAGATGAGGCTCGGCCAAGGACCGCGGCGAGCGAAAGGCTAAAGGGGGCTGACGTCATTGGCTGAAAGCGGGGCCTTGTAGCGAGCACGAAAGGAACGCCTTCCCGGACATCTCTGCGGGGGCGCCATGTCCTATTGGCATGGGCCTTGCTGGCCATTTGGAGCCGTTTTTTTTTGCAGGGACGTAGATCGTGCAATCAGGTTTGAAAGGCCCAAAGTGGCAAACCCACGTTTGGCCTTTCTAAGAGTGGGCCAGGTTGACGAAGCCGGGGTCAACACTGCACACACAAACGGCATGCCTGGCTGCCTGGCCTTGTTTGTTCTGTTTCGGTTGGGTTCGGATGGAAATTTGTATTGTTTCTCAATTTCATCAAGAGCCTTTCAATGATGTTGGCCCATTTTTCACAAGGTAGATGTCCCTGCCCAAGTTGAGGAAACAGCATGTTCCCCATATACCTGATGCACACTTCAACGATGGCGATCAGGTGCACTTGCAAACAGATCGTCTATTGCAGCAGGCGCGGGCGTTTTGTTGAGATTTCGGATTCCTACATTGGTGGAATCCAGGCCTGCAAGAAACTGGAACGGCTCTGCGCGAAGCCGCTTTCCAACGCAAACGACCCCCGCCCCTCAAGAGCATTTGCTCAGCTCCAGCCGCAAAAAAAACAGCTCTAAGGACCCAAGAGGAAAATAATCCGCCAACACTGTGTGTTACAGAGTGCTTTGCGGGGGTGGAAACAGGGTCGCGCGCTTACAGACACCTCTCCGCTGGCTGGCTGACTGACAGACACTCAGACAGGCAGGCAGGTAAACAAACAGACAGACAGACAGACAGACAGACAGACAGACAGACAGACAGACCGCCAAGCTGAATTGCTGTGACACTACCCATCCAACATCCTCTGAGAAAATTGAGGACCAATTTCCAAACCCATGCAGTACAGAACCGACTCACTGACTGCCAAGCTGACTGAACAACCGAGGCGTTTGCCAAAAACGTTGGCCAAGGGGACCTTTCCTGCAAGACGATGCCTCTGGTGAATTCGCTTCCGCAAAGCCCATGGCTACTTGTATCTTGTCATCCATGCTTCAACCAACTGCTTGAACAAGCTTCAGCTCAGCTTCTATTTTCTTTCGGGCATGGATCCCAACCCTATACTTGGCAAGGCGGGGCAGTGCTGAGTTGCGATGGAGAGGGTGTGCTTATCATTTCGCAGGCGCATGTGTGTGTGTGTACCGAAATTAACCTGGAACCAATTCTTTTGCAGCAGGGGAGTGTGGCACTCTTGTCCTACCCCACAAAACGTAGCTGTGGGCGAGAGTGGGAAGCAGGGCCTGATTCGAAGTGACATTGCTCACCTGACACTCGATGCGTTGACTCTAAATAACTTGATTAGCACCCTCCCTCGGGAGTCTAAGTGTGATCACTCCAATTGGGGGATCCTCGGGTGAACCCATTGAGCGACGCCCGGACGGCTTTGCCGTGACCTGCCCCTTGAACCGATTGTCCATTTTGACTCGATTAACCTCAACGCGACATTTGCTCACTTGACACTCGGCGTTGATTCGCAGTGCTGAGCGAGCTTTGATTTGCATGCCAAGGAATTCCTGAATCAACCGCAGCGTGGCAGCGGACGGGCGTGCTATTCTTCCAAATTTGGCCCAGCTGAAAACACGTGCCTGAAGGTCTACTTGTTGCGCATGACACACATTCTGTGGCCATGCCTCAAGCTGCCTCTGAACCCGGTTCAACGCTTCTGACGCAGGCAGTTGCATAGGTCCAGAAGCCTGCAGAGCCGAAAGGGCTTGAGGGCTCACCTTGGCACCCAGTGCAAAAAGGCTGCCTGCTAAGACACAAGTCAAGAACAGGACGAGTCCCAGGACGTGAAAATCAGGGCTGGGCACATCCTCAAAAGCGCCCAACTAGCTTCCTTTTCAGTTGGTCGTCACAGACACTGGCAAGAAGCCAGCTGTTAGACGAAAGCCCAACTTGTTCAGTTTGCCAACGGTCAGCATCTATCCACCAGTGGGAAGCCACACGGCACAGCCTTCCCCGTTTCTGAGCAGAGTTTTGATCGTGACTCTCTTGGGGCCCTGCTTTGGTGTATCCGGGTACTTCCAAGACAGGCATGCTCAAACCAGCAAACCTGCCAGAAGTTCCGGCAAGGTTCCATGTGCCACAGGTTTGTCTCTGTGAATTTCCTTTGTTTCTTTGCCCCAACCCAAACCGGGTTGTGGCTTTCCTCTTGCTTTTTTACCCCAACCCAAACCCGGGTTGTGAAACTTTCCCCTTGGTTTTTCCCCCAGCCCCAAATTTTGGGCACCCAAGACCCAGCGCCCATCCCGCCAGGCATTGCCAAAAGAAAGGCTGGAAGGCCCGGGCACCGGCCTTTGGATTCGCTCCTTTTGGTTCTTCGAGCGGAAAAGTCGGAGAGCGGGGGTTCTGGGGCCCAAGGAATGATTTCTCCCTGAAAGGGTGGTTTCAAAGATCACCTTTGGGGAATGCCAATTTGAGATAAACCTCTGTTTTTGATGTGTCAAGGGAACATGTAGGGAGCCCTGTACCAGCTTGTGAGGCTTGAAATTTCGGGGAGCGCCACTGCGGGAGTTTGCAGCAGAAGTTGCAGCGCGTCAGCTTGCTTGCTTGACTCCGGACGTGTGGCTTCTTTGCTTGTGAGATTACTTTGACTCTAGGGGTAACTTCCCCATTCTTGGCTCCACCAAGCAGTCAGTGGACACCTTGTTTTTGTTTTTTTTAGAAAGCCTTTCGGTGAGAAACGCATGGGCAATCAACCAAGATTCTAGGGGTAATTTCCACATTTCCAGGGATCCGAATCTTTCTAGAAATCCACCAAAAACCCTGGGGAAATGGCTGGTTTCTGAAAAGAACAGCTGAAAAAAATGGGGAATCAACCCCTAGATTGACCACTGGTTTTAGCTTGCTGGCTTGGATGGGTGTACTTGCTCTTTGCAGCGTCGAGGGGTTCAACCCTGTCAAAGCCACCGATTTGAAGAAGCCGGATTTGCTGGCGCTTCCATTTGCATCGAGCTAGTATTGATTGTTAAGACCGTTTAGGAAAAGAGAAATAATTACAAGGCGAGAAGGATAACCTGATAAGAAAGGAACAAAAAGGAATACAAAGAAGCAAATAGGCGAACGGGAGACATGAGAATGATTCAGAATGAAGGTCGCATTCTGACCCTTTCCCTATCCACACTCAACATTATAACCTGATGAGAAAGGAAGCAACAGGATTACAAAGATACAGAATGAATAGATGAGTGATGATGAAGAGATGATAATACATCCGACCTTCATTCACATCCTATAGACGCATGCCAATCAAGCCTTTATCCATCCCTTCATTTCCCACCCTCTCCTTCCAACATAGAGAGAGGTGGGTGATAGAGAGGTAAGGAATATGTTTACCCTCATCCCTTTCGTACGTCTGGGATAGCGGTTACCCGCTGTCCTCTCTATCCAAATCCTAAACACAATAAAGGATTGGGGGAGAGGTATGAACAGAATAGATGATGATTATACCAAAATGAAAGGTATTCATTGTAATCATATTAAGTGTCTCCTTCTTGCATTTCATTTTTGACCAAAAATGCAACCGTAAAAGAGATGTATGATCGGGTTAACCCGTCTCCGTCTGACCCAACGGTGGAACGGAGGAAATGGCTAAGAGAGGAAAGAGAAGGGAGATAATGAACCCTGAACCCGCTGCAACGACGATATGATGGTGGAGGTATAAGATAGAAACCTCCAAAATACTTGTGCGGTCTTATTAAGAAGGATTGTTCCGGAGCGAAGATAGCTCCTATAGATACATAATGATAGATTCAATATGGTGACCTTCTCATCTGGTGATCATATTCCTTCTCCACTCTTGTTAATCGCATATCTATGTTCTGGAGGTTTCTATCCCTGTC